TGTGTGATCTGTACTGTACTGATCTCAGCGTTCATCATGTGTGTGATCTGTACTGTACTGATCTCAGCGTTCATCGTGTGTGTGATCTGTACTGTACTGATCTCAGTTTTAATCGTGTGTGTGATCTGTACTGTACTGATCTCAGCGTTCATCATGTGTGATCTGTACTGTACTGATCTCAGCGTTCATCATGTGTGTGATCTGCACTGTACTGATCTCAGTGTTCATGTGTGTGATCTGTACTGTACTGATCTCAGCGTTCATCATGTGTGTGATCTGTACTGTACTGATCTTTTGAACTTGAACTTGAACTTGAACTTGAACTTTATTGCCATATGTAACCGGTACTGGTACAATGGAATTCTTACTTACAGAAAGTCTCTCGATTATAAAACAAGTGTAAAAAACAAAACAAAGTGCAAACAGTGCATCAAGACAATGTACAAACAAACAATAGACAATGTGCAAGTAAACATGCAGACAGTTTGTAAACAATACAGACGTGTAAACAATGACTGGAGACGTACAATTAATAAATTACAATGAGGTAGATGGTGATGGTGTAGGTGTGGTCCGAGGGGGATGGCTAAATGTGTTCGCCAGTCTCACTGCTTGTGGATAGAAGCTATTGAAGAATCTAAGCGTTCATCATGTGTATGATCTGTACTGATCTCAGTGTTCATAATGTGTGATCTGTACTGTACTGATCTCAGTGTTCATTATATGTATGATCTACTGTACTGATCTCAGTGTTCATGATCTGTACCGATCAGTGATCATCACCTGTATTGACCACAGTGCTCATGATCTGTATTGATCACAGTGTTCATGAAGTGTGGTACTGTGGTGCTCACTCTACAGAACTAACCCTCTGTACAGAGAGGAGTCTGGGTTACTGTGTGTGAGATCTGTATTGTTCCCTGTACAGACAGAGGTGAGAATGTACTGATTCTGTGTCTTATTCACCCACAGGAGGTCAGAAGCCCATCTACAGACAGGCAGCAGGTGAGACAGTTACAGTGTGTAGTTTCTGCGACAGTGACAGGTATCCAGTACCTGTCTGCGGTAGTGAGGCCGGTGTGTCAGTTCTCTGTCAGTCTCTGTGAGAATATACTGACTCGGGGGCTTAGACTGCAAGCCCAGGTATCGATCAGACGTGTTCTTGTGCTTTTCCAGGAAAGGAACCAGGTGATTCCTCTTCGAACTCCAGCGCCTGAGGTAAGAGCTGTCACTGTCTCACCCTCTCTTGTCTGTGATCTCCACTTGTGTCCCTGTCTGACTGGCCCCTCACCTGTCTGTCTGACTGGCCCCTCTCCTGTCTGTCTGACCGGCCCCTCTCCTCTCTGTGATCTCCACTTGTCTCCCTGTCTGACTGCCCCCTCTCCTGTCTGTCTGACTGCCCCCTCTCCTGTCTGTCTGACTGCCCCCTCTCCTGTCTGTGATCTCCACTTGTCTCCCTGTCTGACTGGTCCCTCTCCTGTCTGTCTGACTGGCCCCTCTCCTGTCTGTGATCTCCACT